AGTGGTGGTATGCTACCGGTTCAGACTGGTTCACCTGAACCCGTAGTAAAAAAAAAAAGCCGAGGATCAGCTGAGAGGAGGAAAAAAATCCTCCAACTATCAGCTGAGAGGAAAAAGAAAAGTGGAAATATTGGCCCTCCCACCTGCCCCTATGCTTTTTTCTCAGCTGATTGGCGCTGCAGGTCTCAGCTGGTATGGGGAAAGCTGCGTGCTGTGTTTGGCAAAGCAGGCCCACCAAGCCATGCCCACTGAACCGGTGGTAAAACAATTTGAATCCCACCACTGGTAGGGTCCAGAGGTGGTATTCAGCAGTTCTGACCAGTTCTGGAGAACTGGTAGTGAAAATTTTGAGTAGTTTAGAGCAGGGGTCCCCAACCACCGGGCCCCGGCCCGGTACCGGTCCGTGGATCATTTTGTACCGGGCCGCCTATTTTGCTTGGGCGCCGCCATCTTATTTCGACGGCACTTGAGAAAGTGCTTCCGGGTGAGCTTGTCGGTTGTCGATTGGAAAACGGCGTTTGGGTGCTGAAGGAATCCTCGAAATCCTTCGTTTCGTCGAAGGGGGGGGGCGGCTTCGAACGAAGAGCCGTCCCGATGGCGGTGGAGTCTCGCGTTACTCAGGAGGAGATTAAGAAAGAGCCCGAAAAGCCCATCGACCGCGAGAAGGTACAAAGGAGGAGTTGAAGGTGGCGGGGAGAAGCGGGGGACGGCTGGCTGGCCAGTCGCTCGGCTCGCCTTGCCTTGGTCGTGCGTGCTGATGCCGGTACCGGTCCATGAATCATTTTTTACATTTTGTACCGGGCCGTGGTACAAAAAAGGTTGGGGGCCACTGGTTTAGAGAACCGGCAAATACCACCTCTGGCTGGAGATTTTACAGTATCCTTCCCCTGCCACACCCACCAAGCCACACCCACAGAACCAGTAGTAAAGAATTTTGAATCCCATCATTGGTAGGGTCCCATGCAATAAACATCTGTGTTTATATTCCTTGACCCAAGTACAGTTATAAATTTGATTTGCATACCCAATTCAGGACATTAACATCTGGCTGCAAACCAATGCAGCATGAAGTGGCGAAAATAAATTGCATCTCTATCTGAAATAAGGCATGCAATAAGAATATAATGTTCAGGAGGTGTAAATAGACATGAAGGATACTAGGCTTGGCTGGTGCTCTAGGAAGAGCAAGGAAAAGTTAAAGCAGTTCATGTTTTTACTGTTTATATAAAGAATTCTATGTTTTGTTTAGAACATATCAAGAAGGACTTAATTAGTTTAATTAGGGATCCTGATCATCCCAAAGGTACTTTTTCAGCAGGCAACTGGCCTTTTTTGTTTTTTTCTTTTGAAGATGTTTCGTTTCTCATCCAAGAAGCTTCTTCAGCTCGGAAAGGATAGTGGAGAATGGAAGGATTTATATTCCATATAAATGTAATCCTTCCATTCCCCACTTTCCTGTCAGGGCTGAAGATGCTTCTTGGATGAGAAATAGATAAAACTATGGAGTCCTTGGTGCTCTCTGAGCTTGGTTGTCTGAGCTTGGCTGCTTTCTTGCAGATATTTCACTACCCAGCAAGGTAATACCATCAGTACTAGAAAGGAGCACAGTTTGCTCTTTTTATATATTAGTATTTTTCCTATCAGTATTGGTGGGAATATTCTTATGATTAGGTATTTATTTACTGTAAATTTGTTTGTCTGAGCTGGCAGTTCCTCGATTGTGGTATTATTTACTTCTTGATTGGAACTACTAAGTCAGACAAACAACAGTAAGCAACAACCTAATCAAGGAACCACCAAGAACACTCCCACCAACAAGCCACTTGCCTATAAAGAGAGCAAATCCCATTCCCTTCTAGCACTGATGTTATTATCTAGTTTGGTAATAAAACATCTGCAAGAAAACCACCAAGCTCAGAGAGCTTTAAGGGCCCCACAGTTCAACCTTAAGATACAAATATTCTCTCTTCCATTGATAGCTAAAACTAGATTAAAGAGGCCGTTGCTAAACATTTGACCAACTGAATTAGAACCACTTTTGCCAAAAGAAAAGGGTCATTCCACTCACCTGCACTAGACTTTAAATCTGACAGAAAAATGGATATTAGCTGACATTTTATGATTACCATAACACAAAAGAACGAAGGAAGTAGTACCTTCATAAGCATTTCAGCAGCTTTGCCTGCCAAATTTGGCCACGGTTCTTTTAGATAAATAACTTCTCGGTGACGTGCTGTGCTGAAATTACATAAACAGCAGAAATTACTAAGACCTAGGCCCCCGGGATTTGTGGGTTTCAAGATTTTCTGCAATCAATATTCTGACATCTGCAAACATTTATCCCTAAGAGTTGATGCCAAAAAGCTGCAAAAAGTGAAAGAAATGCCATCACTTCACTTGATACACAAATTATTTTGCCGCTATGTGCCATTATTTATTCTGTAGCTGAATTTATATAGAAAGGAGGATGGTGCAGACTTGATTCTAAATTTAACAGAAAGTGTTATGAAGAGCGTTACAGGTGATAGCATGTATTAACACATATACATAAGAGCTCTCTGGCAATCCAGCCTATGAATTTATTAATATATTGCATACAATTATTTGCTAGAATTATTTTCTTGTCTTTCCTCTAAGAACTCAAGGCAGCTTACATAGAAATGCTTCATTTTACCACACCACTGAGGGTAAGTGACTCAATGAATCTCTGTGACTAAGAATGACTATGAAGCTGAGTTTCTCTAGCCCTGATTCATCATTGTTGCATCAGATAGTGAAGTTTATAGTTTTAGGATTATGACTATTTTCATGAAGATTCATTGAAAGATCTAACTAGGGCAAGATGACAAATGAAGATACTGACAGAACTATGCCAAAGATTCTCAGTCTATGGGTCTTGTTCAAAATGTACTAGTAATATAGTTATTGGTCTCAGCAAGTAGGATTACCTGAATAACTTTGGGCAGAAACTAGGCATTATTTGGCCTTCATAGCGGAGAGATTTCAGGACTGTAGGTTAGACTGGACAATCAAAATAATCCGGTAGAAGGCAATGGCAAACCATTTCCATATTGCTACTAAGAGAGTGTCATAAATATGTCCATAAAATAATGAAGAGCTGAGCTCAACTTGAAGGAAGCTTTACTTGAATTAATTTATCTACTCCTGCTTGAAAATGGAACTGTCGATCACTGTCATCCTTTTGGGCTAGCTTCGGAAATTGTTCCTGCTTTCCTCCTTGCTCCAGGGCCGGTTCCAGTCCAACTGACTGGAGGGATAGAGGGAAGCAAATCTAGCCCATGGCCCCTACTTTGTGGGATGACTGAGAGATCTTTTTTCCCTTTCTATTTAATTTTTACATGAAGTTATTGGGTGAGGTGGATCCATCAGTTTGGGATCTCTTTATCCCAGGACCTTTGAATGATGCTGTGGATGTCCTATCCTAGTATCTGGGGGACGTTGGGGGGTTGGATGGGATGAAATGGGCTCTGACTTAACCCAAGCAAGACGGAACAGCTATGAGTATTTAGACTCTCCAGAGACAGACAACGTTCTTCCATCTTTGGTTCTGGATACCGTGTTTCTCATATAAGGCCGGGTCTTTTTTTTTTTTTGAGCCCCGAAAAAATGGCTAGGCTGTCTTTTCAGGGGTGACTTAATTCCCCACCCTTGCATCTTTGGGTGGGAAGGTGGCGACGGCTTGGATGTTGACCTTGGCGTTGGTGGGGCACTTCGTATCGGGGTCAACGCAGGCAGCACCATATCCGGGTGTGCAACAAAAGTACTTCCTAACGGCAAGCCCCCCCCCCGCCATTCCCCATAATTTCGCATGTTTTAATATAGGCCTTAATTTGGGGGGAGGGGCTTAATTTCATTTCATGCTTATAAAACATGCTGGGATTTCCTATTTGGGGAGGCCGTATTGTTGGAGAAACAGGGTAGTTGCACTACCCTAGACAGACCCAGTGTGCAATCGGGGCATCCTGGATTTACAGCTTCTGCTTGAGTAGCGGGTGGCAGCTGTGGCTAGAAGGGCTCTTGCACACCTTAAGATGCTGCACTAGCTGAGCCCTTATGTGGACTGGGAAGCCCTGCTCTGGGCTGGTATGTATATTAATTTTGGAAGTTGCTATTATTTGTATTGTTTTAAAATGTTCTTAGTATTTTGACTGTCATATATTTTCTGAATTGTAAGCCGCCCAGAGTAATTGACTGAGATGGGCAGCTATAGAAATTGAATGAATGAATACCCATAATTAGATTTACATCCCATCTTGTATGTATCCACTGAGACTAATTGTATTACCCCCAGCAATCCTATAAAGTAAGTTAAATTGAGACATATTGGATAAGTTTGAGTTAAGACCGTACCCTTTCACTCTTGATTCTGGAATTGAACCTTAGTTTCCTGATCCTAAAGTCACATCTAAATTGACTGTTATTAATCTTTTATTTTTCAATTTAGGGAACAAATTTTTTTCATTCTATACCAAAAAGTGAACACAAATCTAAGAAAACTAACTTTCTAGCTTTATTCAAACAGAGATATTGGAAAAGCAGTCCTTTAAAAAAATAAAATAAGCATATGCATGCCTCTTCATTTCACAGTGCAGTAAAATTTGACTCTAGTTTTGCCATGGTTCCTTGACTACAGAATGCTTCTAATGCAAGGTTATTTTTCTCCATGGGCATTAGAGATGTATTCTTACTTAGCAGAGCCTAGACTTATGTATAGAAAACACATTTTTATATTAGAGGCAAGATAACTGAACATTCATTGCAATCTTATGTTTTTTTAAAAAAAACTTAGAAGGGATACCATTTCATTCTAAAGTATGTCTACCTTGCAAGCTTATTATTGTCTTGGAAAATTGGTTTCAAGAATTAAGGCAGCCCTTTGACTGGGATATGTTTGTAATTTGTACAGATTACTTTTATTACGAACATACTATCTTTTGTCTGCAGACATAATTTTCCAAATAAGCATTTGTTATATTTTATATGATGGCTTTTATTTTTATAAAAAAATATGATTTTATTTTGGTCATTCCCATAAATTCATCACAAAATTATAACACAGCGATACATACCAATCAATAAGCTAATGCTGTATCTGTACATAGTTTTTACAAGAAAAAGATATTGTAGTCTATACAATGAAAAGATAACAGTTCCAAAGGCATATGAAATAGAAAGTAAATGATATTATATGCTCTTAAGGGGAAAAAGTTCCAGGTCCTCGGAGTCAGTGTTTTCAATACTCCTCATAAAATATAAATTCTTGAGCAATGCCTTAAGTTCACTTTTACCAATATACATCATCTACTATATTAAGATTAAATTGTCAGAATTCCCCACCAGCAATGCTGTCAGAGGAGCTACATGTACATGTATCTTACAATGAATGTTGCTTTTCTCCTGCTAAAAACAAACTAGGGAAGCATTTGTCAACAAGTAGCAGAAGTAACAAATCATAATGATCAATCCCCCCAGATCTGTGAAACTAAAATATATAAATAATTAACTCATTGCCTACCAGAATAATTCATTTATTGTATCTGCCCCCAGCCAAATTTAAACCAACTATTAGGAAGCTGCATGATATAATAGGATTGCTAAAACCGAAGGACATAGCAAAAAGGAACCCTTCTCAGATTTCAGTCCCATTATATAGATTTTATGTTGCCATTTCTGAGTGCATCACAAAGTGGTGAAACAATCAAATGCACTTTGAAATTTTTTAAAAACCTGTCCGAAAAACAGAAGTATATTTACTACTTTAACTAGATCTAGATCAACACTGCTCTGGAAATAACATTTCTCAGATTTTTGGTTTCATTTTAAAGAGCGACCAACTCTAATAATACTTTAACACACACACAATAGAGTGTCAAAGGTCTTTTTATTGCTTCACGTTTCTGAAAAAGGAATGCTGCAGAGCATCCTTTGCAGTCATTCTTGTAGCAGGGTTTAAGTCCAATAGTTTATCAAGGAGATCATAGGCACTATTAGGAACTCTGTCCCATCCTTTGGGATCAGATGGCTTTTGTATAGTTTTCTTTTCTTTGCCACCATCTTCATGAGTGCTTTGTTTTTGATACTGCGTGTGCTTTTTGGATGCCTGAAGGGCAGAATCTGACACGTTGCCTATTCCAACTGATAAAGAAAATTCCTGAGAAGGGTTCATCTGTACATCACCTGCTGAGTTGTCAAAGCTGGTAGTTTTCCCCCTCAGCCTTTCACAGAGTTTCTTTAAATCCTGTGCTGGGATTTCTTTGCTGCACAGGATTGATTTACCTAAATGAAAAGCACTTGTTAGAAGATTCTTCAGAACGCACAGCCATTTTCTGCAACATTTGTCTAACATTGCAATTAAAGAGTTAAAGTAGCAGCTGCTGGTCCCTTAGTGGAACCAAGTTTTTAAAAGTGAAACGCTGATTTCACTCTTCCAAATTTTACATGTATGGACTTGACATACAGGCAATTCATTTTCCATACTGCTATTTTGAGAAGAAATACAGAACAGCAAAGCAAAGCATTGATAAGACAATTCTTATTGAATCCATTGGCAATATTAGATACACAGCTATGGGTATATAGTCAATAGTGCAAATGCATTGCCCCAGGCTGAGACAATATCTCTAGACATCTTCACACAGAGAGGGGAAGGAAGAAAGAGGAAAAGAAGGAAGGAACACATCGCACCTGATCATACATATTTCTGGAAAAAATAAGTATGCTGTCAAATTCTGGGTTGATTGTCCTGCATATGTTGGTCCCACTGTGCATGACTATGAAGATATAGCAGCCAAGAGTTGATTTAGGCAGGCCTCAACTTTGCAATTCATGGCTGCACTTACCTCATCAACTGGAAATCATTGAAGCTGTGTTGCTAGAAATGGATGTGTTGTCTTTTCACAGCCAAAACAAAGCAGCCTGTTTTTATTCTGCACCTGACTTACAAGTCAGACCTGCAAGTTTTGTTCTCAGTATGGAATTCTCAAATCAACTGTTTCAAGCTTAAAATATCTTTGAGCTACTTTGCACTACTCTATGAAGAGGCAGAAGACCGTATCTACTGAATAACTCTTAATATTGGGGATGCAGAAGACACTACAAGGTGACACAATACCCAAGACATATAAACAAAGACTTAACTGCCACTATCAACAGTGAGTTTGTACTTTTTGTTGTTGCTTTGATGGATACGGGAGAAATCTAGAAACCTTCTAATTTGGTGAAAAATTGTTATCCTCACCTATCTGAAGTGTATTCAAACTGAATACCTGTGGCTCTTTGGAGTGCAGCAAAAGCAGCACTGAGACGGTGGCTTTTGTTTTATCTGTTTAATTTTTACTACAGTGCCAAATGTTAACTGAATTGCTGATTCTGCCATAGTAGGGTTTTGTTGAAGAGATTTAGAAACATTTCCCCATCATGATCTTTTATTGTGATAAGTTTGATGCTTAGTGCAAAGTACTTTGCACAAATCTCTGGATGATTATCCGATAACAACTAAACACTGTAGGTAAAATGGAAAATGAGGTGGATTGCTCATCCAGGTGAAGCAATCCTGGGAATTGAAGTTCTTCTGTTGCCAGTCTTTCTGTGGAGAATACAAGTAGTCCTCAACTTACAACAATTCATTTAGTGACTGTTCAAAGTTACAACAGCACTGAAAAAAAGTGACCATTTTCACACTTACAACCATGGCAGCATCGCCATGGTCACGTGATCAAAATTCAGAGACTTGTCGAGTGACTCATATTAATGACTTTGTGGCTTCTGTGATCATCTTTTGCGACCTTCTGACAAGGAAAGTCAATGGGGAAACCAGATTCACTTAGCAACCATGTTACTATGATTCACTTAACAACTGTGGTGGGAAAGGTTGTAAAATGGGGCAAAATTCACATAAAAAATGTTTCACTTAGCAACAGAAATTTGGGGCTCAATTGTGGTCGTTAAGTCGAGGTCTCCCTGTACTGCTATTGAGAAATACAGCAAAAAGAGGTCTGATTTACAATTCTGGGAAAGGAGAAATTGAATAAAAGAGGAATACAGATCTAAGGAGGAATAATTCAGAGCCAGTAACATTAATTAGAATTAATTAGCCACATATTTGCTTGCAGCTTTTTCATTTCACAAACTGGATGCTGCTGATTTGATTTGTATGTTTTGTTTCCTATGGGATTATTTAGAAGCCTGACATGATTTAAGGAATTTGGTCCTGACATTTAGATGAATGAATTCCAAGGCTATTTTATTTAAGTTGTGTAGAAATCCATGAACATAATCCTAATTATCTACATATAGATAAATAATAATGAAGTTAGTTACAAACAGGTTAGAAAAACAATGACAAAACCTGCATACCAAATGTTCTAGCAGCTTGAATGGTTTCTCTGGAGCCACGAATAGTCATGATCTGTGCCAAAGCTGTTAAATCATCACTAGCCCTGTAAAATGGATACCGACCACTCAACAGGGAGAGAAATATAATTCCTGCAGACCACATGTCAATTGCTGCAAATAGAAACAAGACTTTAGTAACAATGACTAGTTATTCTGATTCATTCCCAGGGTTAAAAAAAAAAAATCTAAGGAGTCAAAGCATATTATAGAAAGCAGTATTTATATGGTTCAATGTAAGACTGCTGTCTTCCCGGGATTTCTTTTGGCTTTTCATATTTTATAATCTTCCCCAAATGAACTTCAGGAAGAACCAAGCAAGGACAAAGGATCTGCAATAATATCTTATAAATACTCGATGCAATTTATGAAAAGAAAAGGGTAAAACAAGCCCTCATGGAAAGATCAATGAAGGAATTAGTTCAAAATTAAGTCAAAGCAAAATGTTTCTGATAAGCTTGAATTTGCATGACTTTTTCTCCCCAAGAGGGAACCTGGGCTCCTCACTATCTGTCTCATTGCAACATATCCTAAAAGTATTGATCGTAAAAGATATCAATAGACATTACTGATTCAGCAGCAGCAAGTTTTTTAAAATAAGAAAACATATTATAGAATTCAGATACTCTGACTGAAACATCAATTTAGATGAGGTTTTCTGAGAGACAGGTGGAGATAATATTAATATTCCCAAAATGCATAAGTTCCTCATCTAACAGCTAGTTTCTATCTGCTTAAAATATTAAATAGTTTTGTCAGTTGGAAACTTTAAAAAAATCTGCCTGCAAGAATATTATGTTAATTATGCTGGCTCTAAGCCAGCATGCTAATGAATCTTACATATTCAGAAGGGCTTTTAAAACATTAGCACAAAACTAAAATCACTTGAATTTTCTACTTTCCCCCCCTTTGTTTAAAATAGAAACATTGCAGTGAATATTTCGGATAGTTTCTATCTAAAGTTCTTCTTTTAGCTAATAAGTTTTAATAAAAGAACATTTTAACAGTTTTAATGGATTAAGTAGCTTGTGTAATTTACTGTACCTGTAGTTTGATTAGGGCACTTTGTTAATACTTCTGGTGCTCTGAATCCAGGAGTTCCTGCCCTTGGGGCAACCTGCTGACGTCTTGGGGTTAAATAGAAAAAAACATTAGAAAGTAATAGCATATGATTAGAACAGGGGTTGCTAACCTTTTGCACCTCAGGGACCACCAAACTCATAATTTTAAATCCCAGGGACCACTAACCAGTTCTGTTTGCGTGGCCTAATTTGTGGGTGTGGCTTGGTGGTCATGTGACTGGCTGGGCATGGCTTGTATGTAAATATTATAAATACAGTATTTATATAAATATTGATTTTTATATATATATATATATATAAAAGAGCAACTTTTACCCAAAATCAGGCAAAGCAGGCAGGCAGATTGAGTTGCTCACAGAATCACAGATTCATTCAGAGATCTATCTGCAATTGGCTAGCTCAGTCTGTCACATAAAATTTGCTAGCAAGCAAACTCACAAAATTAACTCACAACACACCATGTATGTAAATGTTGGATTTTTTATTAAAAAAGAGCAACTTTTATCCAAAATCAGGCAAAGCAGGCAGGCAGATTGAGTTGCTCACAGAATCATTCAGTGATCTATCTATCTGCCATCGGCTAGCTCAGTCTGTCATGTGAATTTTACTTGCTGTGAGTCTGCACTGAATAATAGAACCTTCAGTCCTAAGGGAGATTTGGCTGTGCTTAAAAGGGAGATTTGGCTGTGCTTAAAAGAGCCGAAGATCTAAATCCAACCATTTCCTGCTTTCTAGCTAATCTAAATCTCCCGGCACAGCAGAACAGCTGATGGTCAGAAAAATAGCAATTTAGCAGGCAAGTTTGCCGGATAAGGAGTGGGTGGGTGGGGAGGGTTCTCACGGGCCATGTGGGCGGCGCAGCCTTGTGTTTCTGCGCAGCCTGGATTAATAGCTTTGGGGGGTGTGTGCTCTGGGGTGAGATTTCTCTGCGGCCCACCAAAAATTTTTCACAGCCCACCAATGGGCCGTGGCCCACCGGTTGGCGACCCCTGGATTAGAACGTTCCATAACCAAAGTACTTTCTAGATCAGGCCTGCTCTACACATTGAGGGCAAAAAACCATATGGATACATTAAAAATCCTCATGGGCCACAAAGAAATTATTGGAATGATGATAATGTAGTTTGAGGAACAGTGGAAATGCTGGAGGTATTTGATAGCATGTCCTTTGTGATTGCTGTAAGTTTACTATTTTTTTTTAATTACAAAGGTCTGCAGGCCACACAAGGTTACCTGTATATTGTGCTGGCCTGATCTAGGATGTACTTTTATATGGTGATATTAGACTTCTAGCAAGATAATAGGAGAGATTTCCAGCGATTGCAACTCCAGAATTCTCTGCCAGCACATCAAAGCCTAACTTGGAAGCCTAAAAATTGAAGCTATCACATCCAGAGGCACCATGTTAAGGAAGGTTGTTCTACATCTTGCTTTCTGGCTGCAACATTTTTAAAATTAACCCAAATGTTTACTTCTCCTTTATTAGGAATACATACATAGATAGAGATGCAACTTATATTTCTTTACATAGTACTCATGAGTAGAATTGCAAAAGGTTATCATTATGATTCTAAAGAACCTATCCATTTAAGCTTAACCTATAGATTTTGGACATTATTTTTTCTACTGCTCTGGGCCTACGATTGCTGTTTTGATACTTGTACAAACTATCTAACTGATACTAACCAAATCAGTTTACATAAGGAGTATAATAATAAATGTACTTTTCTATACTTATGCATTCTGTATCTGACATCCTCCCAAGCTGACACTGCTATAATGCAGAAATGGAACTGGAAAGGGCTCAAGTCTTTGTTGGTGTTGAGAATTCTTGTACGAAAAGTGTTACGCCATTATAACATTATGTGGGTGAACTAAGAGTTTGATTTTTTTCTCCTACTGTTGTATTTCAAGGTTCTAAATGTAGCATGTGCTTAGTAAATCCACTAATGTATCCATAGTTATAATGCTGCCTGGCAACAGAGTGAATATTTTTTCCTGCATCAAAAATGGATTACCTTGAAAGACAAACGGTGCAGACGCTATCTTTTGCGTAACAGTCACAGATCAAGTGAGGTGGGGTACCACTGGCAGCTTTCTTGCCTAAACCATTATTTACAACAGAAGTTGCCTTCTTCTTCACCGACAGTTTCCTGACTGGAATATCCATTATCCTGGGTTGCTTTATGAGCAGTAAAATAAAAGTTGCATTTTAATGCAAGGCATACTCAAAACACAGTACTGATTTATTTCATGAGACTGAAAATGGTTTGCCGCACGAATGCACAACTATTAAAGAAAAGAGTTAAATATAAAAACTTACTCAAGAAAACATATCAAATTACATGGATAAAAATATTACAAATAAAATGCCATTCCTATTCCCTAATTGCTTAGCAGAACTCAACCAGTCCAGGCTTCAAGTTTTCTAATAGCAATAGCACTTAGACTTACATACCGCTTCACAGTGCTTAGCAGCCTTCTTTAAGTGGTTTACAAAGTCAGCATATTGCCCCCAACAATCTGAGTCCTCATTTTATCGACCTCAGAAGGATGGAAGGCTGAGTCAACCTATAGGTAGTCCTTGGTTGGTAATTGGGACCAGAATTAAGCTATGCAGTGGTAAAGCATGACATCACATGACTGCATCATTGAGTGACAACAACCACAGCAGTCCTTGTTGTATTAACTGTATCCTAGCTGGCCATTAGTTGAGGATTGACCCTGGTCCCTGCCAGCCCTTCTCTTGAACTCCATCTACCCATGTTCCTCCCCACCCCACCCAATCTCTTCTCTTCTGGCCACCGTACACAGTGGCGATGGCACTAGGACTAAAGTACCGCCTGGATCTTTACCAATCAAGACCAGCCACTATAACCTCCCCAGCCTGTAACTCAGCTCCAGCACCACTAGCACTGCTACCACGACAAAGTACTGCCACAAACCTCATGCTGCAACCAGTTCCCCAGTGCAAACTCTCCACCACCCCAACCACTTAGTTGGTGTGGCACAGGGCCAACAGAAGCGCCCCTGTACTCGCAAGTACAGGTGGGCTGCCTAATGCCTAAATATTGATCATGTGACTGGGGGGGGAAAAACTGCAACGGATGTAATTTTGGGGACTAGACATAACTACATTTCTTCAACACCGCTATAACTTTGGTCATTGAATGAATAAATGAACGGTGGTTTCCCAAAGACAAACTGTTCCTCTGAATATGAACTACATTTATCTGTGATTAAGAATGCTTACCTTAACTGTGGAACGGGCTTGAAATGCTGAGCTTCGTACGTTGAAATTTTTCTCCCCAAAAATCGAACGCTGAACACAATGACAGTCTGGATCCTCCTGTGAAGTCAAGAAAGGACAATGAGGATTCTACCTCTAATTCTTAGCAGTGCATCCTTTAATTAATCAGCAGATACTAAAACCACTGTAGTTTATCAATTATCCTGTTTTTACTCAGGAGCTCATAATGCTTCATCCTTCCATTTTATAAAAACATCCCTGTGAAAGAGTGGAAAATTAGCATGGTTTTAAAACAGGAAGAACCATGAATAACATGTGCTTTATTGATGACATCATCCTTAAAGTCAAAAATATAAAGGATCTGCAAGATCTAGTAATAAAAATCAAGGAGCACGGTAGAGAAATTGGACTAAAATTAACTACAGTGACCAAACTAATAACAACAGGAAGAACAAACCTTACAATTAACAATGAAGGTACTGAACAATGGATAGCTTTTGCCTTTTTGGATCCACCATTAACAGTAAAAGAAGCTTCATGCAACACGCAACAGTTAGCATTTGGCAGAGCAATCACCAAGGTTTTGGAAACATTACTCAAATACCATGATGCACCTGTACCTACAAAAATCAGAATTGTACAAGCTACGGCAACAGTCCCCAACATTTCTGGCTTTGTGGACCTGCAGGGGGGAGGGGATGGTTCTGCGCAAGTGGTGGGTGAGCAAACGTGCAGCTCTATTTGCAGAAGCAATGGGCATAAACGCCCATCCATCACCTGCACCAATAGAATTGCGTGCACGTTCACCTGCTGGTCATGCAAGTGGAGCTGCACATGCTTACCTGCCACTTTCGTGGCCCGGTTGGGGATCCCTGAACTCCATGCAACACTCTATGGAAGTGGAAATTAGACTTTGAAGAAACAAGAGCAAATTAGTATTGATGCTTCCGAGCATTAGCACTTCTGAAAAACCATGGAGCCAAGAAAAGAAACAAATGTATAACTGAACAAATCATCCCAAAGAGGCACAAACGAGCAGGCTCATCTTACTTTGGAGACATTATGTGAGCATCTGCTTCTCTGAAGCAAACTCTCATGCTGGGAAAATCAGAGAAACTGCCAGCAATAGTGTAAATAGAGTCAGTTAGAGTGATGATGGAAAAACTGAAGGACCAGCTAAAGTCAGATCATCATGAAAAGTATCTGTGACCTGATGACATATAACCAACCAATCAATCAATCTATCTGCGAGGTAGGTCGGCTGAGAAACTGAATGTGGGTCAAAGTTACTCAGTAAGCTACTGGGATTGTGGTGGATCAGAACCTGGGTCTCCCCAGTATCAGTATAACAGCCTAACCACTTCACCATAGGTGAGATGGGAACTTGGTTTCCAAGTCCATATTTGGTTGGTCACGTGTTGCCACCTGCTGAGACAAACGCCATATTCATTCAGTGTAATGCATGGAGCAGTTACACTTAAAAATGAAGAGGTATATAATGAAGCAGACCCAGATTTTTTTTTATTCTGTAGTAACCCATCTGGAACCCATTAATACACAACCTTCTCATAAAATATTATATAAGAATTCCCCTCCCTTACTCTTCCCCTTTTCCTCTCTTAGGCTTTCCTCTCTTTCCCTCTTGGCCTATGCTAAGGCCTGTTTGTCTTTTTGTTGTACATAACTGGTAGTTGTGTTGTTCTTTTAAAGGTAAAACTAATAAAGTATTTTTTCAAAAAAAATATATATTATATAAGAATAATTATTTCAGAATAACGAAATCCGATTTTGATTATGATATCTGATACTGATGTTCCTCCAATATTTCACAGAAATACAAAAACTCTGAAATAGAATGAAATATTATTCTGGTGTTATATCTCCCCCTGTTGGATAAAGTTACTTATTAAATAAATCCATCCAGCAAAATTATGGGGAAAAAAAAAAAGAAAAGAAACTAGAACCTTTCTTTTGTGTCCTTGTTTAATCTGTGTTTGTGAAATGGAAGAAAGCCTTTTATTAGCTGTTTTTGTAGCTGGTTGATGAACGAGCTGCCTTGATGTTGGGGAAGTAACTTGGCTTCCCACAGTTAGAGGTGGTTTATTGTATGCAGAAATCCTTTGCTGAGTTTCGGATGGAATAACTTTGAGAAGTTCCACTTTTGTCTCAGGAGTTCCTTGTGCCAAGCCAAAGTCAACCAAGGCATATCTAAAGACAATTAAAAATATAGTTAATGATAATACTGACTTTTCCTATTAACAGAATCTAACCACTTCTTCCTTGTTTAATACTATTCAGATATTGAAATACCATTTATATTATATCACATTTAATAACAGAATGAGAATCATAAATTGAAAAACTATGCATAAACAAGTCTGCTAAATGTGGCAAAATTAATTTGCAAATTTATCATTTTACCAAACTGGCAGGCTATGACTTCAATATATCTCCTCCCATCTACCATAAATACTTGATTTTTCTTGACCTTGTTAAGACATTTGTGATCCAATTATTTTTTACTAAATACATTATTAACTTACTAGATTTAATACACTCTACCTTATAAGATCATAGTGCATACAAGGTAGGTCAGACTTACTGTTGCAGTTGCCTGTTATAAAGGAAATTACTGGGCTTGACATCACGATGAACGATACCAAAGTGATGAATGCGCTTCAAAGCTTTCAAGAGGTTAAACATGTAGTTTCTTACTTCTTCAAATGAGAGAGAATCCAAGATGTCCTGTACAAAGGTTGTAATAAGTAAGTGTGCATTCACTCACAATCAAACTCTCTTAATTCTTTTAATAAAAAGTATTTAGAACTCACCGAAAATGATTCATGTTCCAGATAAGGCATAACGATTACCACGTGATCATTTTTTCTAAAACAATATTTAACTCCCATGACATTATCTTGTCCTCTACCGAAAGGGAAAAAAGTTCTCTCACAAAGAGAGAACATAGCATTGTTAGCATGTTTCCACAGATCTTTTCTGAACAAATACTTCAGTATTCTTTAAGGAAAATCATTTCACACTAACAGCTTTCCGCTTATGACATACAGAAAACAAGTTTATGAAAATGGCTGGTGTCATTTTTCAAAAACTACTTTTGTAATCCTAATGATGTTTGCAATCATGAAGTGAGATACAAATTTAAGATACACAATAAAGATGATTTAGAATGTTCAGATCTATGCTTGTATATGTTGAAGATATTTTCAAAGGGCTAGATATAACACCCTAAAATATGTCTTGCAAAAAAATTGTGCACATTAAGAAAACAGTGCACATTAAACATCATTTAAATTCTTTTTGCATCTATCTATCTATCTATCTATCTATCTATCTATCTATCTATCTATC